TTAATATTATGTACTCACATTTCTGATCACTACAATAACCCAACCCATAGATATTTCTAAACATAGCCCTTTGGGCCACTTATCTGAACCTGAATACCAAAATGTTCAGCTCTTCCTTTTGTCTAATAAGGCCTTCTCCTTAAACCACTGATCTCGCTTACTCACTCACTCAAGCATTTTACTTTCTCTAACATTTTATTACATGCTTATCCTCCACTACCAGCAGCGTTAGGGAGAGAACCCAGTCTCTCTCTTGATACCAGGTTCTTAGAACACACTATATTTTGAGTCCTTATGTAACAGAGATTCTTTTTTTTTTTCTCACCTCAAAGCAACCATATGGATTCCTCATTTACATTCCTTGAGACTCACCACAGTTGCCACCCAGTTAGCATATATCCTTCCTTCCCTTAAACTGCCATAAAACTTAGGGTCTTATATGCATGTTCCTTATAATACCCAACCTATACCCACAGGTGGAAGTAGTTTTCTGAACAAGCTGATAGAATCGTGGGGACCCACACTGGGCCCAGGGGCACCTTATGGGTATGATTGTGAGGCATGGATACCAGGCACATTCACAACAGCTCCCTAAAGTCGGATCAAACCATGAAGCCACAGTAGGAACCGTGGTGGCCAAGTGTACTTGGAGAAGGATGGCTATATGGAAGAAAAGAAGTCAATATGCAAATGTGTAAGGAGGTGTGAATTAGAAGGTAGAGTGACCAGGTCTGAATATTTTCCAGCACTCCCGAGGAAAGATTCCATAATTTTTTTTGTTGTTGTTTTTAAAATCAGAAATGTATACTTAAGGCTTAGGCAGGAATGTGACAAACTGGTGTCATGGCATATTCAGTGTTGATATTTGAATAAATCTCCTGGAACATTCCATTAAAAAGAAATGTGAGACCAAAGCCAGGTTTGGTCAGCCACAGCCACAAAGGGGAAAGAGCAGAGTCAAGTATTTGCCGTTAGTGAAGCACAGTAATGAAGTACAGCTCTGGGACGCTATGTATTTACTGTTCCCTGTTTTAGTTGTTAATATGTGTGTCTTTTCTCCTCAATTAGACTTTAAGTTCTCTGAAAGTAATAGATGCTACTTGTATCTTCCATAATGCATGGTGCTCAGAAATATTCTAGAGCAAATACATTAATACATACTTTTGTAGTACTTTTCTTTGGTAAAAAGTTAGAACGAGAGGCAACTGGGGGAAATTTCAATATTTTCTATCAGTGGCTCAAGGATCAGTAGATATTTAGCTTCATAATTCATGAAAAAATGCAATTTGATATATAAACTCACTCATGTATCAGAAATAAAAATTATTTCATAAGTGAAATATATCAAATAATTTATTAAAGACTTGTGTACCAGAGTACTTTGATATTTTCATCCACTATCTTTGGTTTCCTCATCGACCCTGCCATTTACTGAGTACCAACATAAAATTGTACTAGCTCATTAAATGCTATTTAAAAATATTTGTGCACATAAAGAGTAACATGTAACTTGCTAGTACTGGATGCACTTCCCTCTAAGGCACCAAAATTAATCTTTCAAGATTAATCTTTGTCAAAGGGAAAATTTACTGTAATATTGCTTTTGTTTATCTTATATATTACATGTTTTTTATCATGTTGAGTAATAATTAACACATTATAACAAAGATTATATAAAAACAAGACTTGCAAAAGATTTAGGGATTACGGAATGAAATTACTAAAACTTTCGAATAAATAAGAACTCAAATAGATTAAACTACATTTTTGTTAACACAGTCTACTTTGCAATGTTCCTTAATTTTCTCTGAGATTCTTATCTGACATAATTCTGCAAAGAAAATTAAAGTCTGTGATTTTTTAAATATTAAAATAAAAAACTTCATATGATTACCTTAAGCAAATATATGAAGCCCTAAAATATACAGCTCATTTACACAGTTTGGAACTATCTTTTTTTGTTAACCATTATCTTATTTACTAGAATCAGATTATCAGTGAAACATGGTTTAATGGAAAACTCATTGACACAGGAATAAAAAAGGCCTAGATTCTAGAACTGTCTATAAATCTGAACTACAGAGTCAAAGCAACAATATTCTGTTTGGTTATATACTAGAAAAACAAGTCTTTACCAGAGAAGATTTCACTCTGATGTCTACAAAATCATTCCCAGACTTGCAAATTTCATGAAATAAAGACCAGACTAACATAAATTAAGTCTTTTATTTTCCAAAGTGATTTCTTGAAAAAGTTATAATTATCATCTTTACATTTCATTATTTCATAATAGAAAGACATTTTAAAACTGAAATGTAGAAATGATTTAATTTTAGCATTAAACAAAAATGTAACATACTTAGCTTTCTGAAAAGTTTGTACATTTTATTGTTTCTCTCATTATCCCTCAGACAACATTACAGATGACTAATCTGTACCATTTGTA